CTCATTAGATTCTCAGTCCAGGTCTAAATTACACTATGCACCGTGAAACCGTTAACATATCTTGATGTTCCCGACCACGCTGCTTACCACTGCCACCGCAGTTGCTAGCCTGAGTTGCGGTTGTGATGCAAAAAACCATAGGCTCGTCCACAATGTCCGGAGGCGACGGATCGACGTAAAGTATCTTACGAGTATTGACCAGCGTGTAGCCTTCGTGTGCCAGGCCAAAAAAGCAGCAGCCTTCCGTAAACATCGAGGTCTAGGACGCGTGCACACTGGTACATGACCGTCGGACCCTCGCTGGGTTCCAGTAAGCTTGGGATTGCCTTGTGGTTGGCTAGCTGCTCGTCAATGTCAATATTCGTCTTCTCACTTCGTTGTTCAAACTACTGAAGGGAACTAACTGCTTTAAATTCTTCATGTGACGATTTCCCGCCGAAACTATCCGTCTACTGTATCGTATTGTCAACCTAAGATGCAAGCTTTCTTGCAAACGTGTGGAAATATCCTTTCTTTCCGAGTGTGTTACCCTACGCCGTTACCCACGTTCAATGCTGAAACTGTTACGCAGAAACAAGCTCGCGCCTTCTAATCGCAACCTTAGATTCATTGCGTCAGCGCAATTAGACACGACCAAGGATAAGTTAACAAGTCTGATGGAGACACATAGTGCCCTGATGCCGGTTGTGGGAGTCTGTCCCTATGCTGCCGTATTGTCTTCTCAATATTTTGTCAGAGACTCATCGATCGCACGAAAGAAACTTGCAGAAAGCGCCTAGTGAACTTCCTGATGGAAGCGAATGACCAACCCGTTACACGTGAGCTCGGTAAGTACATCTTGAATGTGTCAGATTTACAACTTGATGATATGCAACTAGAAGCACTAGCCTTGGGAATCGATTACAAAGTTACTCCCAATAAGCTGAATCGATTATTTTTTGAAGCACAGTTTGAGAATTTTTTCGATCAACTAGCTGAACTTCAGTCAACCAGCCATGATGCTGTCAGTTGGTTTAGGAATAAGCTGACCGACATTGCTTATGAAGTCCTCATGGTACCGGTAAACGAAAAGTGTGTGCTTACAAGCAGTCATTTAAAAACGCTACGAGAGTTAAGAAATAAGGGAGTGGTTGTACTAAAACCCGGCAAAGGTTCAGGAGCACTTGTCATGAACAAGAACGATTACATACGAAAAATGCTAAACGTTCTACGTGACGAAAGCAAGTTTCAACGCACCGACAGGATAGAATGTCTGACAGAGGTAGAGGCCAGTATAACCCGACACCTTAAAACGCTTCTTCTACATCGTGTAATTGACGAAACCACCTACAAACACCTGAAGCTAAGCAGTTCATCGACACCAGAGCTGTACGGGTTACCAAAAACTCACAAGCAAGACATGCCACTAAGACCCATTTTGTTGACGGTGAATTCCCCGCGGCACAAATTGGCTAGCTGGTTCGTTCGGATCCTTACGCCACTGAAGCAGCACTTCAATTTGCACAGCATTAAGGACTCATTTGAAATAATCAAAGACCAAGACAAAATCAGTCCAGCCGACAAGGTTATGTGCTCAATGGACGTCCAATCGTTATTTACTAATGTCCCTTTGCTACAGACAGTTAATTACATTTGCCACCTGAGAGAAGAGGCGAATTTCCGTCTACCCATACCTTCAGACCTTCTGAGACAGCCCCTGTTACTCTGCATGGAGGATGTTGCTTTCCGATTCCAACACACCTCATATCGCTAAATTGATGGAGTGGCCATGGGTAGTCCGTTGGGCCCGGTACTGGCTGATTTTTTTCATGCTGATGCTTGGGAAACAACTAAGTGGGGAGATTTCTCAGCTGCCGTATTACAAACGATATGTAGATGATATCCTTGGTTTCGGTTCCACGAAGATGCGAATCGAACAAGTAGTAGACCAACTTAATAATGTTCACGCCAATCTGAAGGTGACTTTTGAATTTGAATCCAATGGGCTTCTTCCGTACCTCAACGTTCTCATGACTCGCGGGGATAATGGGCTGATTAAGCGATCTGTATACCGAAAGCCAACGTTGTCCGGTCAATACCTACATTTCACTAGCTTCTCACCGATGGCACACAAGCGCCCGCTGGTAAAAATATTATTCACTCGGACCAGATGTATCTGCTTCAACGACTGCCTGCCTGAGGAGTTTGAGCTGATCACTAAAAAGCTTATGGAGAATGGCTACCCAAAGCGATTCAGAGACAAACAGCCAGGTTAGACCGCCCCAAGAAATGGTGTTGACAGCCCCAAAGAAAAAGGTGTAAATTGACCTAACATTCGAAGGTGACCCCATAGCAATAAGGACAACCAAATGCATTGTCTGGGCCATTCAGCGTACGTACTGTGCTGCCGAGGCGGTAATTATCAGCAGAACCCGAAAATTGCGTTATCTTCAGTAAAGGAAAATGAACCCGTCGGAGCCAAATCACATTGTGTTTACCAATTCGTGTGTGACGGCGGCATCAGTTACATCGGCAGAACCGAACGGACTTTAGATTTCAGAGTGAAGGAGCACTTACCAAACTGGGTTCAGCGCGAAGTAACTCAATCCACCTCAGACCATCCGTGCTCGCGTAAGTCGCCGGCGTCCTCCATAGCCAGGCACATTTTGGCAACCGTCACCGAGTCAATCCGTTATTGCCGTTCCGGATCTTGTTGCATCATACTAATTCACGCCTTTTGTAATTTGCCGAAGCCGTCGCGATAAGCCGAATTAGATCAGCCTTATGTGTTCAAAAGCGATTAGTTGTCAACGTGCGGTTGCCGCGGTCCTATTTGTAACAATAATGATCACAACCATAAATTTAATTGACTTGACTGTGCCCTATTAGACATCTAAAAGGATTTTCCTGTTATTATATTGGTACTGACGAGATAATACGCAATACTAGCATCTGCCAATATTCGTCTTCTCACTTCGTTGTTCAAACTACTGAAAGGAACTAACTGTTTCAAATGTCAAGGGGCTTGGAAAAGTGGGAAATGGGTGGTGACACCTAGCAGGGTTGAGTAAGATTTCGTGCTCCAGTGGCTTCGCAGCTGCTCTCTATAGAGCTGCCGTGAAGAAGTCTACCAATGGTTCTTCCGCAGAGCTTTTCCCCATGGGATCCAAGCTTGTCAGGTAAAGTAGTGTGGGGTGTTTACAACGTCATCGACACCGCTCGGAGTAATCACGACCCAATTCCTCGGGGGTGGCAGTTGTTCGCTGGTGATGGAAGACTTCTTGGAAGATCGAGGCATCGAGGCTTTCCTAGACAACGATTATTCTAGATCCGCTGAATGCAAGCGTCGTCTCAAAGTGTGGAGAAATTCCGTTTCTAGATTCCGGCCTTCTAGAGTTCTTGCGTTGAATAATTCAGTGCCAGTGCACTGCCAGCTGATGCGGAATCTGTAGAGCTTATCTACTATAGCCCTGCCGCGTTCTGTAGTGATTTGTGCGCTGGGAATCAGGTACCTACTTCACCCCAGTCTTCGAGCACAATGCTAAACGACAGGTAGTTAAAGAAATATAAGCGACTGTCCAGGCTACCCCGCTGATGATGCATCGGCGTGCGCCAGCAGGTGATGTCACCGGATGCAAGGTAGCGCATGGTACTTGATATCAACAAATCAGGCAAGCTTGCTTAAAGCCTTAGTCCGACCACAGGATAACTAAATTTCCCTTATTCTGTCTTCCGGCGAGAACCCGGTAAATGTTCACTCAAGGAGAAGTAGTGGTCTGTACAGGACTTCTGTTGATGTTTCCGAGCACAAAACTGAAAGTAAAGGATGGAGACAGTAGCACAGTCACACCAGGTTTGTCATTCAAATAACGGAAGAACGAACCGTAGGCCAATACATGGCCTAAATATGTACTGTAGAGATATTACGGTGGGAGCATTCCTCTCGTATGGCCTTAAGCTGTAGAATATACCGGGCAGTCACTAGTGAGTCAGCAAAGTAGGTCTTTAAATCAAAGAAACCGATCGATGAGAGTTGCCTGTGTGGGTATCGTGGATACGGTAAAACTTGTAAAGTATCATCGTTTAGAACTTTCCATCGACCAGTGATTCATCAAAGAATGACAGCTATGAATTGTAATTTTCCCTTGTGTCATCATATGCACGCCCACTTGGGCTCATATTGTCTAGGGTTGTCGATTAGGGTCTTTAACCAGAGTATCAAACCAGCACACTAGGGACGTGGTGATAATCCCAATTGGTTTGATTTTAAGACAGAAAACGTTCAATATAGTGCGTCACTATCGTGCACTATAATTCGCGAGGGTTTATGGTACTTAACGAATGTAAGTTAGTGAGTTCTAGTTAAATTTTCTCCATCCGACGTAAGGTGAGAGTGAGCAGTTGTAGCCATTTTGCAGAATTTATTTGACTAAAGAGCGGACGTGCGCTTTCAATTTTACTTTGTTGCACTAGTTAAAGGACATTCCATAACATGATATCAGTGGGCAGCAAGAAACTAACTGTTGTAACCATACAAACGCGGTTAATTTCTACAACGCCCAACTAAGAATCTCATTTTCAGTATTTATGCACTGAGTTCAGTTATCCGCGCGTTAGTCAGAGCCCACTGTTGAACCACAGTTCATCTGTTGGGCTAGCAGTGTCCAATGATATTGCTATTGCAAGAAAATCTGAGATGCTTTATTACACGACGATAGTCTCAAGGATGGAAATGGACATTTTGATGCAGCCTTAGATGAAGCCTTATTTAGCTGCCTTCGCTTCCCCATGAGAATATCTGTTTCAGTCACGAATAAGTATGTGATGGTTTTCTGTTGTCTGCTTGCAGTATAACAGAAACATCCAGCGTATTTAGTTAAACAACAGCGAAATATTTAAGAACATTAATTTCTGGTAAACTTCTTCAGTGTAGTAGACTGACAAATTAAAGCTAGGCGTTGACAAGGTATGAGGATTATTGTGAAGAGAAGCTTAGGGTAGTGCGTTCAATTAAAACTTACTGTGCACACACTCCACCGCAACCGCCAAATCGGACTTGCAATACACTCCAGCAGGATCGGCGTATGTTCGACACTGCATCAAACTCGTCTCGTTCCCGTAACAGTGTCCGATAATAGCAACAGAGTAATTTCCACCTATTCCGGCATGGTGCCGTGGAATCTTTAAATGGAAGAAGATAGTAACATCAGTGAGTAAATTAAGCTCCAGTGCGTTTATCAAGAATGGACTCGGTCAGTTAGCCATTACAGTTTCAGAATGGTACTGAATGGGTTTTTGACTTCTCGAACCTTAACAGGGGTGTGCGTTTGGATATGCAAGCGTTTCCTTCAAATCATGAGGAAACCGAAACTACAAATATGCAGCTTGGGCTTTTATAAGAAACGTGCTTTGGCCATGAGCGGTTCTCCTTAAGTTTATTGGCAGTTAAACTAACGACTAACCTGTAAGCATAACTGCACAGTATAGGATTTGGCTGACAGTTTTGCGGATTGTTTCAAGTGGAAAAATATCCCAGGCGTGGACATCAGAACGACAAGTTAGAAGAGACAATAGACTATATATGTGACACCGTTCGAGACCATCAACTGGGTATCGGGCTTTCAAGCGATCGACTGAAACAGCTACTCCTGCTGTGTACTAGTAACATACAATTTCAGTTTAACGGGGCCATATACAGACAAAAAGATGGAGTAGCAATGGGCTAACCGCTTGGACCGCTAGTGGCTGATGTGTTCATGAGCAAATTAGAGAATACTTATCTGAGCGGAGTCATTACTAGCCTACCATACTACGGATGATATGTGGATGATATATTTTGCGTGACAGACAGAGACTGTTGCCCAGAGATAATTTTATCCTATTTTAACTCAGCGCACCCTAATGCCAAGTTCACTCTAGAAACTGAAAGCAATGACACGATGTCCTTCCTGGACGTTCATCTTAGTAGGAGACCAGATGGATCAGTCCAACGGAGGGTACATAGAAAAGCAACGTGGAACGGACAATATATACATTTTGCCAGTTTTGTCCCATTAAATCAGAAACGCAACTTGATTAGATGTCTAACCGAAAGGGCCAGAATGATTGGTAGTGAGAACACACTTGCGGACGAGCTCAGTTTCTTAAGTGGCGTTTTTGAGAGAAGCGGCTATTCAGAAAAATTTGTTCGGAAATATATGGAGTGCAGAGAAACGAGAGCTAAACCAGCTTCGGTAGAAAAGAAACCGGTTTGTTTGGCGTTGCCGTTCAAGGGGATGGTATGGCGCAGGCAACATCTAGAAGATTATCCGACGCTTTGAGCCATACGTACTACGCAACGAGCTTGCGGCTAAGTTTTACTTCAATACCAATCGTGAGGCCCCAACTCAAAGACAGACTTCCTTGGTCATGTACTACTTATTGTGTATATTCCTTCTCTTGTTCATGTCGAGCAAGATGCATCGGAATAACTACTAGGAGGCTATCTGAGAGAATACGCGAGCAGTGTCCAGCTAACCTACGCAATGGTGGGAGAAAAACTGTGATGAGCGCCGTGTTGGCACACTTGGTTGATTCTAATCACCAAATTGACACCCGCCAATCTTTCCAACCCATTTACCGTGTACCTGGACGTCTTTCACGTGCGGTAAAATGTCGCTTACTAGCAGCAGCTGAGGCAATTGCTATCCGCCACCAGAACCCAGACTTATGTGCTCAAAAACGATTCGTTCAGATTCTGTGTTTGCCCTGGCCCTCTGTCACAACGACTCATTGAGGGACATGCCGCCGATAGTCCATCGATCACTTCTGATCTGTTTTCCAATGACCTTGAAGTTTGAACTCTACCGTTACCTGCTGTTTTATGTTAATCTTATTCCTATCAGTTGTGGTGTTTTAGCGTGACGAGAGTCACCGAAAACGAGCTTGTTCGCTAACTTGTCGTTCAGAGTTTTGAGGATGTTTGTAGTCCATAAGTTGGACGAGGATGTTAGGTTGTTTGTTGCTCCACGTCAAGATAGTTGCAAGTATCAGGGAATCGTATCTCAATGTGATAGTACTGCCCACCTCATTGGAATATTACACAGGATAATAGAGAACTAGAAGCACTATATCTCGGTTATTAACTTAGTCGTATATCGTGCAACTGTTAGTCGGGTTAGTAATTCACGCAACGAACAACGAGACCTAGGAGCTAGTTTTGAAACGTAGTAGTTGCTACTCAGATGGAGGCCACATGGCCTGATGACGAAACTTACAACTAGACCGCCATGCTCGATGGACAACCTACAGTTCTTAGTTTTGGTTTGTTCGTTGCAAAGGGCAGTTTTATCGCAAACCTTTCACCACCAATCTATGGATATATTCACACTTTTGTGTGTAACGGGTAATTTCACAGAATGGATTGTCGTTATGTAATCAAACGTTTATGTACATTTCCCAGGAATTTGCTTGTCCCTTGTTTGGCAACTTCCATTTCATTTCTCACATTGCGATCTACCATCTGCCCAGTTGCTTTCCCTCGTAGATGCTGGCACACAGGATCTAGATCAGCGTATAGGTTTAGTGATTCCTCTGCAAAAGCAAGCTTCACGAAATCTTATACAAATTGTCGTTATTCCACTTCTCAAAAGTTCTGTCATTCGCTGGACTTAAAAGGTCCCGGAAACCAGCGACCCTAAATCGCTTGACTGTTCATCAAAGCAGCTTCAAAAGCAGATAACCCTCCCCATGCACGAAAAGATGTTAGCAGGCTTTTCCTCCTGTAGGGTCTTCTAGGGACAGCCCATCCATTGGCTCCATCTGAGTCCTAGGATAAATTGGCATAGAACTATCAAGTAATTCCTCAAAAATGCACATGTCCCAATAAACTGGTCACTATGCTGTGTTAATGCATAACAAAAGGGTCATTCCTTCGGGTGTGAGGTAGAGCGCACTAAATTGTCAACTGTTCAATAGTAGGTATTGGTCTATTGCAAAAGCTCACACGGTACATGGATGTAGAACGACCGTATGCATGCTTGTGGGTACACGTGTAGTTGCCAGTGTCGTCCATCGTGAATACGCCGGGTCATGTGCGCATGGTTGAGTTGGAGTCAACCCATGGCACGTTACAGGGCAAGTTCACGGATGGATCCATACGCTGTGCAGGGCTGAGTGGAATGGAGACAGATGTGCAAATTGGAAACTGCAATTTCTCATGACGCCGCTACTGCGGTCGAATTGTGGTGGCGCTTCGACAGGCGTAACTGGCCTGAGCAAGGAGTGTTATCCCAGCTAGTGACAAAAGGGTTAACGGTAACGCCCTTGTAGACTGAAAGTTACCTTCCAAAAACCTACCTTAGCAAAACAGACATTCCTTAAAATTAGGCCTTGCAAATATGAAATGTGACGTTATGAGAAAGGAGTTTTGAAAAGCCATGCCGCCTAAAGACTACCCGCAGCCGCATAACCTATTCACCCATCACGTTACTGATCGCCGTCGCAGGAAGCAAGTGTGGTTACGCCTCCCAATTTGCTTCAGACGAGACCGTGAGAGTTCATTCCAACATATGCAATGATGAGGCAATATTCTCTTAGCGAGGAACTGAGAAGCTGCATTTCTAAGCAATATCTAATCCACGATGATATTGGGAACCATGTATTGCACAAAGCGCGAAGTTCGTTGACTTGAAAATATGAATAACAAATCGTGGGACCACAGCACACGCAGGTGGGTTTTCACGCATACCGTGCACCACAAGCCCGTTATCCCTTTGATAACTTTTCTGACACAGTATGTTGCAAACGCACCTTTGGCTCAACTCTGATGACCGGACAGGTCAATCCTTTGGACCTTGTGACCGATCCACCGGTGACCGAACGCCGGCTTATGATAATGCCGCACCGTTTGTGCATAATTGGCAGGTGCGTCATATTGCATCTGTGATGACTGAAGCGAAGTGCCGAAGTAGCCAACGGTAATCGGTGGTGAAAACATCTCTATCTTGTAGCTCCTACGTAATCTGTCAGCGACAGTTCCCTTACCACTGGAGTACCATGATAGTAAGAGGAATGGCGGCAATCATAATTGAGTTACTTAGCAACCTCGTGGTTAACATCATTTGGGCAACGGAAGTACGTGACGCTGGCTTGCAAGAATCACATAACGCAGCCTGCTGAGCTTCAGCGATTTCGTCCACCGCCGTTAACTTGACAGTAAACATCAACAGCGGCACATGCAAGCTGTGGCACCATTGAGCGACCGGGCGTTTTTCACGTACCCATCTTGTTCTATTTTCTCCCAGCGTTCATTCAACCCCGAAGGAATATGCGCGCAATTACCCCTCGTAACAATGTGCTAGTGAAACCAATCGCTCTGCATTATACATATACTTACATGAAATATGTTTCAAGAGCATAAAAGTAAACGAAATACTTGTTCAAAATGACCACCGTGGTTTTGCTTACAGAGCATTAGGCGCCGAATGCTATTGGCTAGCACTTTCTGCAATTTAGTTGGCAATTTAGTGCGCTCTACCTCACACCCGAAAGAATGAGTTTTTGTCGCGCATTAACAGGGCAAGGTGAAAAGAGTATTTGGACGGGCTGTATACACTTTATAGCCAACAAATCTGTTGCCCACTGTGGCAATGAATGTCCCTTGCAGTTACCTGAAATTTCATACTACTTTATCAAACATAGTACCGTCTTGTTATCGAGAAGATATGCATCACTAATTTCCGCTACTTACTGCGGTTCCAAATGTTGCTTTGACACAAGGTGGTAGCTTAAACGAATAGTAGTAAATAAATGGCGGATGACTTTTTGTGCAGGATGCTACAACACATTCAGCTGCAATCCTTTATGTTAAACAATTTTCTGTTTAACAATAATGACGAGGCCATTCTGACTGGCCACTAACTAGGCACCCCTTGCTTATTTGGACAACCGCTTCAAGTCCACGAACATCAAACTTCCCTTTAGCACTGGCGTCAAAAGTGCAAGAAAGTATCTACAAATTCCACAAACGCAGCCACACAGGCCTAGATTCACACATACATACATTCATTTATTAACATATGTGGCAATCCATTTATTCAACTGTACATCAACTGATCACATTTTGTACACGCCTGTGCACGCGTGCCTCGCGTATTCGAGAAAAAAACATTTTATTTATTTATTCCAAGGGCACTTTTCATAAGACAGTAATGGGTAGTGAAATGCCGATTACATTTGGTCCATTAGTTGGTTATTTATGCGAAATCATAGCAGACAACTTGTTCATTCATAATTTGCAATTTTTCAACTTGTTTATTACAATTTTGTACGGGGAACATCTTTTGAACTTTTTTATGTGCTGTTTCGTTAATCATACTGAAGCCGCGGGCGTTATTAACAGATATACACCTGATCAGCAGGTTAAACTTCTCATGTTTTCTACACTCAATGGGAACTATTGTAGCAAGTGAAAATAATGTACCACTTACTGGAACCACGCGGCCACCAATACCTGCATCAATCTGCCGGCAGAATACGATGGCTTCGGTTGCATGAAAGTGCTCAGGGCACACTGTGCCTATGGATCCGTCTATGAAGCTTACCAAAACCGGGTGAAACGATGCCAATTTTTCTTTAAATTTTCCTGTGTTTCCATGCCTCGTTAGTATGCTTTTCGGAATAGCAAGCGATATACTAGTCTGATTTAACAGAAAAGAAGGGAACTCATCATTTAAGGGGCAATGATTACTAGATAGACATTGGAACACAATCTGAAAGTTTAGATAAGCCAGGTGATCTCATGCGTACAACAATAACTTAGTCTCCTAATGGTTGCATCACTCCTGAAACAAAACCTTTGTTCCTGGGTCCGCTAGTGAATCACTACTTGGTGCCGCTAACCTGCCACAGTTTTAAAACTAATTTGCAGGTTAAAACTCGCGTCAAACTGTTACGCAGCTACAATCTTCACGCTTATTTCGTATGGCAGAATTTTTTTCTTGTTGCTGCGGTAGTTAAAATTTCGATCAGCTAATATGGACGTGATGTATTTGAGTACATCCTCAGGCAACTATCACCGGTGTGTCGGTTACTGAAGTGAGCTCGAGGTGTCACAACCGACGCACACATGGTCCAAGGTGCATCGACAGCGCACAACATACCCAGAGCACGGAGAAATTCAACTGAGACTCAAGAGACAGAATGACGTGAAGAGATGATTGCAAAAAGCAGAAAGGGGAGGAGACAGCACGATATGAGGAGCACTATAGCTAATAAATCATTATATATTTTAAAGGTTTTGGCCAATGCCCAACCATTGCCCGATACTTGTAGGGGTGCACAGCACTCATGGTAAATAATTAGTGTTTGTAATGCCGAATGAAAATTGGCTGACATGAGCGCTATAATTCCTACTGATCTTGCTCTGTGGGTAGATACTATGCAGTCTAAGCCCAACTCAAGACACTTACTGGCTATTGATTATTGAAGAAGAAGATAATAGCCACGGGCTTCTTAACCATCCGGCTCACTAAGGATATTTTCATAGTTCAATATGAAAGTATGCAAGTAGACTTCATGCTAAGTGCCTCTATTATTAGACTAGTAGATATCCAACTGAATTCATTTGGTTTATCTGTCATTAACGCTGGAGCTCCTGGTAAAAGCGCAACACAATCTAGGTAAAATTAAGTCAATAACGTTGTTTCGACTACCTGTATTCGCCTATTACTCCATAACAATTCAACTCGAGTTCCTGTTGTTTAGGTGAAACGAAATGGGGTCTCAATTTCCGGAACCAAGAAAAAGATTCAAGTTCAAGTACAACTGGGACGGGAATAGTAAGAAATCCCCGTTTATGTTCCTTTGTGAGTGCGTCATTGAGCCGACGGTAATATCATCAATTTACGGGAGCCAAACCGACACGTGTGAATCACACCATGGTCAACCAATTAATGGCCACGTGACCTGCACTAGCGGATCATGCTGCCTCGGCCATGTGAAGTAGAAATAAAACTACGGAGTAACAAAAGTCGGAAATAAGTAGAAGCAGAGCAGCAACAGTAACGAATAGCAGAAAAATCGAGCACATGAACGGGAAGCTTTGGAAATGCAATCCAAAGACATCGAGTATATGCGAAAACTCCTTCACTTTTCTCATGCTACCATGACCTCAGGTAACGAATTCCAGGAGTCCACTACTCTACATGACAGACGAACGTTGGTCCAAACCACATCATATGTTAGTTTGTGTCACTTCATAAAATGACCGAGGAGAGATCGTAGTAGAATTGGTCTAGAAAACGCAAACAACTTTGTACTGGTCTTCTTTGTCAGTAGGCGGGGTATCAGAATCAACTCGCCACTATATCGGCGTAAGTGCAGCAAAAACATACCGAGCTTAAGTATATGACAAGTGCCATAGTCCTCGAACCATTTTGGTGCCAACCCTAAAGACCCGCTCCATTGACAGCCTATCAGAAACCAAGCGTGGTGGACAAACTTGTAACTAATACTCTAGGTGCGGCCTAAGTGAGGTTTATAAACGATCTGGTGAACATTTCCGGTGTGACGATTTCGAATGACCTGCGGATCATCCACAACCTTCTAAAAGTTTTATCGGCAACCCTCTTCCAGTGCTCAGTAGACTTGAAATCGGATGACAGAACAACACGTAGGTCAAATAACTGAGAAATCTGAGGTAACTAATTCCCTCCAAGCAGTTAGGTTGCGGAAGAACAACTCGATCCTTGGACTAGTAGAGAACACTGGGAGTAATTAATAGGCACCTGCCACAGTTTAGACGAGTCCTCAAATCTATCAAAGACTCGTTCTAGATCCTAGAGACCACTGGAGCCGATCAATAGACAGCGGAACTTCAGCTCTTTAGACAATGTAAGTGGCGGCGCACTTAAATTTTCGGGTGGCACTTTCATATACGGAGAGAACAACTATGGGCCAAGGATCGATCCCTGTGGAACCCCATTGAAAGCAGACTGTCTAAATGACAGGCCTGTACCCAATCGGCCGCCCACCACTGGACCTTCCAGAAATGACGATATCCACCTAAGTACATGCTAAGGCATTCTATATGGCTTTAGCTTCAATGACAGGCAAGAATCTGGGATAGTGCCACATGATTAAAGAATTCAATGAAGAGAGCGTCAGTTGTCTGATCCTGATACACAGCGTTCGCCCAATATTCGTGTGTTATCAGCAAATTGATCAAGCAATATGACCTTGACGAAAACCATTTTACAATAAGATAGGCAAACCAAATATCTTCAAATGGTCCTCAAGTGCATCTAATATCAGCTTTGCTAGTAGTTTGACCAGAATACTCGTCAAACTCACAGGTCTCTGCTTCAGAAGTAGACGCGTGTCACCCTTTTTAAAGACGAGGTAAACGACCGCCTTCTTCCTGTCCTAAGGGTGAGAACAACCCCTAAACCATTTCTTCAATAGATGAGTGATGGGTCCAGCAGCTCACTTACCAGTTCAGACAAAAGCTTGGGGTGAATCGCATCCCCACCGGCAGCTTTACCAGTATGTATTGACCTTAAATACAGAGGAACCTGAGCATCGGACGCAAAACAGTCAGTTAGATATCTGTCTGGTGAAGTTCTAAATGTCAGATCAACAAGAGACAAATTGTTCTCTCGGACAACTGCATGAGCATACTGCTCGACTAGAACGCAAACTTTGTCATGATCTGTGGGTGCAACAATGCCGTTGGTGCTGAGCAACACCGGCACGGAGATAAATTTCCTGCCTTTTAACATGAGCGAAGAATTGTTTCGCATTCGCAGAGGTTGGTTTATCCAGCTCTGTTCCATAACGGAGCCGAGCGGCTCGTATCTGACACTTGCAACAGTTTCGCATTTATCGAAAACACCTAAATATGCCATCCGAGCGGGCTGACCAATAAGTATGAAAACTTCGCGTTCGTCAAGCAACTGACGTGTGACTGAGTCCAGCAATGGTGACTTTACTCTCACTCACCATCTCACTGACAAAGAGATGTGAAGAAGTAAGATCCCAGATGCAGGATTTCAATTAATCCACGGCTAGCTATATATCTTTATCTGGAGAGACTACGCAGGGAGAAATTGTTACTTTTACCCGCATTGCTTGAAAGGCAGCGCTTCCAGATAGTTGCATTCTTGCTAAAGAGTCCTTAGCAATTAATACTAAATACACAACTGAATGACATGCAAACGTGCTCACTGGCTCCTAGTGGGGATTATAAACAAGATCTTCAAAAACTCCCTTGACTTTTCGAAGAGAAACTTCACAAGTGACGTGGTCTGACTCACCATGAACATGGAGTGTTGATCTACTAACTGGTGTAGAGGTACTTCCGGCGCTATATTAACAAGCCCAGGGCACGGGAGGTTCTGCCAAGTTACTTCAGGGACATTAAAATCACCCATCCCCCATCATTTGTCCGCTGGGTGGATGCGAATAAAATTTCTGAAGGCTCTTGAGGTGCTTTCAGGGCTCTCGTATACTAAAAGTCATTTGAACTGCACGGACGCAATACCTACTTCTACCACAATAGCTTCGAGACTTCTACCTGAAGTGCAAACGTGCATGTTTTCAAAACGTTCACGCCAGAACTGGAATGCAGGGCAACCCCACCTCTGCGACGGTGGAGATGGCGATAAGCTCTCAGTAGTGCGTAGCCTGGTAAGTGTACCTCACCGTCCATGATGTCGGCGGATAGCCATGTTGCAGTGAAGACGAGCACATCTGGATGAAACTTGACTACCAGAATACCCACCTCGCACAGGTTTGGCAGACTACGCAGGTTACTGAGCACTAGTTGAAGGAAGCTAGAATGGGGAGCCTAGGGTCGTACGCCAACAGAATTCGTCCTGGCAGAATAGAAATGGACCGTGAGATTACCACCCGAAAAACCCACCCAAAGTAGACCACATTTCCCCGATATGCGACGAGCTTTGAAGTATTTACTGGCCTTCGCAGCTTTATCCTGTCTGCTAAAGGCAGTTCCGGCTGTACATTGACCCCTAAACTTTTCAGCTCAAAGGCGAAGCGCAGCAGCACTTTGAGTTCCTTTGGTCTAGAAAGAACGGCACGCAGTAGACGAGGCCGACTGCTTATACTATCTTCCTAACAGTGACCCCAGGAAACCCGGGTGGAAAGAGCTTCGAAACACACACATTAAGCTACTGGAGATCATCGATCAATCGTTCCTTCAGAAGTTTAGCCGGAGACTCCGCAATGTTCCATTATAACGCTATTGTCGGTAACAAAAATTGCGACGCGTGAGAGTAGCTATGGCACACGTTACAGACAGAGCACCTGGTAATGCACTAGGCATTTCATTCAACTGCGTAAACGCAGTATTCGCACATGCTGAAAGGGTACCATTGTGGTTGTGAAAGGCTCTTCGGATGGCTCCGGGATCAGAGTATCATCAGAAGACACAGATACTCATTTCGATTCAGATATAGGAGTGCTTGTCTATTTCCTTCACTTTCGTTGCTTACCTTAGGCAGTTACAGGGGGCACCAGAGTTTCTTCACTCCTGGTAGAACCAAGTGTACACTCCCAAGGATCACTATATAATTGGCTATCATAAACGGATACCCACACAGTACTCGAAAAATGCATTAAGTCTGCGGACTCATCGGAATCCCCACTTGTCACTTGCTCCATAGCGCCTACAATTCCGGGG